CTCGTCGCTGAAAAGTTGCTCACAGCCACAGGCATTGCGATGGTAACGCAATCGTGTCCCCAAACCTCGTCGCTGGAAAGTTGCTCACAGGCACAGGCTTGCGATGGTAACGTAATCGTGTCCCCAAACCTCGTCGCTGGAAAGTTGTTCATAGCCACAGGCTTGCGATGGTAACGTAATCGTGTCCTCAAACCTCGTCGCTGAAAAGATGCTCACTGCCCCAGGCTTGCGATGGTAACGTAATCGTGTTCCACCGAAGCTAGGCGAGATTAAAAGAACCTCCGGTTGGTTTGCAACAAACAGGAGGGAAGGTGACATCGACGGGAGCGCGCTTGGACCCGAGAAGAGACGGTCAGTGTCAACACCGCATCAACCGATTGAAAACGATCCGCTCGACATGGCAGGAGCGACGTGCACATGCCAGAAATGCCAGAGGACCACGAGACCTTGCCAACAGGCTCCATGTTTTAGTAGATGCTTCTGTAGTCTCAGGAGGAAGAGAGTGGCTCCGAGATTTCTGCATGGCCCCAGACTCAGCAAACGGCCGTCACTCGGCAGACTACCGCCGACATGCTTGAAACAACTCACCCGTGCATACACAGGGGCGTGGAAGACTTGGGAAGTGTAGGGACAGCTTAAGTAGGTAACAACAACGTCCACCCTGAAGCTGCTGTGGCTTTGTATCGTTGGCCTTGTAAACTGAAACGACCGTAAAAGTATGTAACGCCAACGTCCACCTTGAAATTGCAGTGGCGTTGTATTGCAGACTTTGTAAACTGTACAGAGGGCATATGTACGTAACGCCAACGTCCACCCCGGAATTGCCCCGGCTTTGTATAGCAGACGTTGTAAACTGCAAAGACAGTAAAAGTATGTAACGCCAACGTCCACCCTGAATTTGCTGTGCCTTTGTATTGCAGAGTTTGTAGAGTGTAAGGACAGTATAAGTAGGTAACGCCAACGTCCACCCTGGAATTGCTTTGACTCTGTATTGCAGTCATTGTAAATCGTAATCGCAGTATAAGTATGTAACGCCAACGTCCACCCTCAAGCTGGTGTGCCTTCGTAATGTTAGCTTTATAAACTGTAAGACCGTATAAGTATGTAACACCAACGTCCACCTTCAAATTGCCTTGACTCTGTATCGCATTCTTTGTAAACTGCAAGGACAGTATAAGTATGTAACGCCAACGTCCACCCTGGAATTGCTCTGTCTGGGAGGACAGTACAAGTATGTAACGCCAACGTCCACCCTGAAGTTGCCGTGGCTTTGTATTGCATTTTTTCGCCAACTGCAAGGACAGTCTAAGCATATAACGCCAACGTCCACCCTGAATTCCCTGTGTCTTTGTACTGTAGACTTTGTAAACTGTAAGGACGGTATAAGTATGTAACGCCAACGTCCACCTTGAAATTGCCGTGGCTTTGTATTGCAGACTTTGTAAAGTGTATTATTGACAGTGCAAGTACGTAACGCCAACGTCCAGCCTGGAATTCCTGTGGCTTTGTATGGCAGACTTCGTAAACTGCAAGGACAGTATAAGTGTGTAACGCCAACGTCCACCTCGAAATTGCCGTGGCTTTGTAGCGCAGACTTAAGTTGCATAAACTGTCAAGACAGTACAAGTACGTAACGCCAACCCTCGATTGCTGTGGCTTTGTATTGCAGACTTTGTAAACTGTAAGGACAGTAGCTGCAAGGACAGTATAAGTATGTAACGCCAACGTCCACCCTGAAATCGCTGTGGGTTCGTCGAACCAGCTTGTCGAGAATACACACGCCAGGGGCATGGAAAACATCTATGCCCGAACGCGGGGAGCTCACACGGACTATAAGCTAGGCCATTCGCATCGGATCTACTTCGCAAGGTGCTCACCAGATCCTGAGCAGCTGGAGACGACGGCACTTCTCTATCGAGCCCGTCGAGACAACCCGGGTGCTTTCCGAGAAAAGCTGCAGGAAGTCGAAGCTCTGCTTGGCGAAGAAGAACTAGCAAAGCAACTTCGCCTGCTCGAAGAGTACAGCGCCAATGCCGACATCTCGGCAGAAGCGAATAAGTCCTCGACGGCGGAGCCCGCAGCAGCTCCGGCGACGCCCGGCGCGGCGGCCAGCTCGCTTGTACTCGGTCAGGACCCCGGCCTCGCTGCAAAGCAACAGCACCACGGCCTCCTCATGCCGAGCACGCTTCTATCAGGTCACATGGCGGAGCCGATGACGGATTCCTCAGAGGACACTTACCACGACAGATCAAGCATTGGTTTTTTTTGCAGTCGAACTGCAAGGATGAAAGCGATTCCGGAAAATCCGCATGGCCCGACACCCGGTAAAGCAAGCAACCGGGCCAGCTTGACGAGCGTAAACACCGCCAGGGGCATCAAAGACATCTATGCCGAAGCGCAAGGAACTCAGACGGACAAAGACTGAATCTGTTGAGTTGTAGTTCGCAAGGCGTCGTCGGCCAGATCGGACGGCAAAGCCCGCAGCAGCTCCGTCGACGCCCGGCGCGGCGGCCAGCTCGCTAGTACTCGGTCAGGACCCCGGCCTCGCTGCAAAGCAACAGCACCACGGCTTCCTCATACCGAGCACGCTACTATCAGGTCACATGGCGGAGCCGATGACGGATTCCTCAGAGGACGCTTACCACGACAAATCAAGCATTTGCTTTTTTGCAGTCGAACCGCGAGGATGAAAGCGATTCCGGAAAATCCGCATGGCCCGACACCCGGTAAAGCGAGCAACCGAACCAACTTGACAAGCGTAAACACCGCCAGGGGCATCAAAGACATCTATGCCGAAGCGCAGGGAACTCAGACGGACGAAGACTGAATCTGTTGAGTTGTAGTTCGCAAGGCGTCGTCGGCCAGATCGCGAGCAACTGGAAACAACAGCTCTTCTCCATCGAGCCCGTGAGGACGATCCAGATGCTTTCCGGGAGAAGCTGCAGGAAATCGAGGCCGTACTTGGCAACGAGGAACTAGCAAGGCAACTTCGCTTGCTCGAAGAGTACACCACGAAGGCCGACATCTCGGCGGGAGCGAGGGAGTCTTCGCCAGCGGAGCCCGCAGCAGCTCCGGAGACGCCTGCAGCAGCCGAAGTGGCATCGCCTCCAGCAGTGGAGTCTCCGCGTTGGGCGCTGACAATCAAGCCAAGGTGGTGCCGGAAAATTCTCGACGGCAGCAAAGTCTGGGAAATCAAAGGACAGAACTGCAAGAAACATCTACACGAGCGGATCTGCATCGCCGAGTCTGGAACCAAGAAGCTGGTGGGAGAGATGACCATCCGCGAAAGCTTCAAGATTACCCGAGAAGACCTCGAAGCCAACAGACATTTGCACCAGATCGACGACCTCTCGATCATCACCTACGCCAACATCTACGCCTGGGTCCTGGAAGACGTGAAAGCTTACGAACGGCCTCGTTCTTACAGCAGAATGTGGGGAAGCATCGGCTGGGTGGACCTTCGGCCACCGCCCAAACAAGAGCCGTGCCAAAATCCAGATTGCTGTTTCGGGATCACCAAGCAGAATGTCCGGGGAATGGCCTACGGCCGCGCCCACGATGGCATCAGCTTCCAGCACTGCGTGTTCTGTTCCAGGGAAGCCTTTCGTGCTGCAGCTGAGGAGCGCGGTGGGCAGCAGATCAAAAGATGGTTGAGTCAGCTACAGTCCATCGACAGCGATCGCTACAACCAGGCACTGGAACGAATTCAACAGGAACACGGCACAGAGATGGCGGAACGCTTCGGTTCCAAGAAACCCAGACAGAAAAGCAGGAGAAGCACTGCAACCACATGGCAGACTTCGCTGGAGCATCGTCAACCGGCACTGAGAATGTCGGAAGCCACTCGCCGAGAGTTTGAGTTCACGCAGCACCGAGCGAACAAGAGACTGCAGCGGAAGTTTCCCGCATTGTACACCGAAGGAGCCAGAGAGAAGACAGAGTGGATGCCTCCTCGCGCCGCAGCTTTCGAGAAGTGGTGTCGAGATGATTCTTGGCAGATGTGCAGCTGCTGCGGCCGCATGGTACCACAAGCCTTCCGCGCCAAGCATGCCAGTGGCAAGGCCGTTACCAGTTCGGAATTATCCGCATGTGGACATTGCAAGTCCAACGGCTCCACAGGTTATTGGGCTCCCACTCCTGCAGACGTGCCCAACCGCCTGCGGGAGTTGTCGGCGCAAGCCATCGAAGCTCTGCGGCCCTTCGACGTTCATACCGGAGGGACCGTGCGAGCGCCCAACGGCTACTTGGTGCACAACGACATGATGCGCTTCTCGTTCAAGACCTCCTCCGTGGAAGAAAACATTGCAAAGCTTCCGAGAAAACAAAAAGAGCGGGCGGAGAAAGCATTGGAGTATCTGCTTGGAGATCGTTCCAACTCCTACTATGTTTACTTCTGGCAACTCCACGAGAAGAGCCTGCGAGCAAGACAAAGGGCGATCCAACGAGGCGACATCTGGTCGGGCACGCCTGCCAAGCGATTGCCCACGAACTTCATCGAGACCGTCGGCATCGAATGCGCGCTCTGGCCGCACCTGTACTGGTGCGTGGACATGACGGAGACGTACGTGAGATCCCAAGATGCACGCAGACTGCAGCGGCACCGGCAAGATCAACATGAGGATAGCGACGAGGACCTCGACGGGGCCGAGCAGAATGCGTCGCGACAGAGCGCCAAAGCAAGCTATCTGGCCAAAGCCCATTCCGCGGTGATCGGATACAACTCGGATCCGCTGCTGCTGCACTTCGTCTACGACCTCTGGCTCTTCACCACCATCGGAGGGGCCAAGAACAGTGCCGGCACCGGGTCCGTGCGAGCAGCTTTGGCCACCAAGCCATACTCTCCGGAACTCTGGCGCACCTACCACACCGCATTGGTGGATCTGCAACGACAGGTGGGGTGGCCGAGCCTCTTCATTACCATCGCTCCCTACGAGTGGTCGTTCCCGTACCACCAGTGGCTGCAAGACGAGCTGAACAAATCTCTCCTGGCCAGGCTCGAGATGCCAGTGGCAGAGACCTTGCATCTGGCCCATGTGCTTACTCAGGCAGTCAAAGGTCTTCTGACCGGAGCGAATGAAGGCCTGCAGGCCAAGCGAGAGCACGTCTTCTGTTCCGGAGAAGGCCCGGGTAAAGTTCGGCACTGGGTGGCCAGGCTGGAATTCCAAGACGGCAAGCGGAAACGTCACGTGCATCGGAACGGCCAGTTCTACCACGGACGTGGAGCGGTTCACGTGCACATCCTTCTGTGGTTATCGGACATGCACGCCATGGAGCTGTCCTCGAAGATCCGCGCCGACATACCCGGCGAAGACGAACCGGAGATGCGCGATCTGGTGTTGGGCTCCCAACTGGACTACACCTCAAGCGGCTGGCCGGCACGCGAAGAACCCACTGAGGTAAACAAGGAAGACCAGCGACTGAAACTGCATCATCCTCGCGAAGCTTTCGAAAGATGCTGCCGTGCATATGTCTCAGACGTCCTGGCCGCCCTTCGCTGCCACGTGGATGTCCAGGCATCGGATGGTCGCGCGATGATTCTGAAGTACTGCGCCAGCGCCTTGTTTGCAATCCGAATAAACCGATTTCAGCATTTACTCGTAAATATCGTCACCCGTTTGCTACATCTCCCCGCGCAGGCTACCTGCCGAAGTTCAGCAGCTCCTTTGCAGCGGAACTGCTCAACAACGAGGCCAGCGACTACTCGCTAGCGCGCCGCGTGCTGGCAGACTACCATCCGCTGCAGCCCGAAATGGTCATGCAGCTTGCGATGCAGCAACACCCGCAGTTCATCTGCCCAGCCACCGTGCGCAAGTTCGTCGTGCCCGTTCCCTGGCAAAAGGAGATGCCCAAGCTCGTGCAGAACTACATGACGAGTTCGTGGAGACGTCCCAACATGAGCCTCTTGGACTTTCTGCGAAAATCAGGCAACAACGGCCAGATATCTCAGAAATACCGTCGCATGCACAGCCACCTCAAGATCGGCATGCCCCTGAACGATTGGATCAATGTGCACCCGGCCGACGGCAAAATCCTGGTGGCCGATATCCCGTACGCGCACACCAACGATCGACGCTACGGCCAATGGTTGCTCTTGAACGTGCCCTTCCGGAATGTCGACGACCTCTGGATCGAGAACGCGGAAAAACTGCCAGAGAACCTGAAATTTCTCGGACTTTGCGTACTACACCGCCGTCGCTTCTGGCGAGATCCACAAAAGATTCGAGCGGAGTTGGAAAAAGAGGCTCGCAGCGAGACGTACATCCAGAACACGCTGGCCATGCTGGCGGCCCGCATCGAGCTGATCGACGCCTACCTCTCCGGGGAGATGACAATGGAGAAGGAGCCGGAGCCTGCATTGGACGGAGTTGCCAAAGTGGCCAGCGCCAACATCAAGGTTGCACCGGAGCAAGCGAACGTCATCCACACCATCCGCCGACGAGTTCAACACGCGCTGGAAGCAAAGTGGCCGGAAGACAACCAAGTCGACTCCTGGGCCATATGGTTCGATCAAGCAATGCCCGCCAACAGACCAACGGTCGTATTGGGACCGGCCGGCAGCGGAAAGAGCACTGCGGTCGAGATCGCTTTGGCCGAAGCCGTCAAGGCCGGAGCGCACGTCGGTGTGGCGTGCCCGACGGGCATGTTGGCGACTCGGTACAGGAGTCGCTATCCGGATCTGGACATCGACACCGTGCACGGCATGTTCGCATTGCACAAGGACGAGCTGACGACCGCAGACATCATGAAGATCTACGATCTCATCATCATCGACGAGATAGGCCAGCTCCCCGTCTGGATCTTCGATCGACTGCTTCGGCTCTGGGACGCGGCCGAGCGAAGGCCCGCCATCGTGTTCGTCGGCGACTTCTGTCAGCTGACTGGCGCGGACGGCACCACGGCAAGAGACAGCCCCAGGTGGGCCCAGATGAGCATCTCCACGCTGTTCGAGATGCGCCGATGCAAATGTGCCAAGTTGAAGTGGAAGCTACAACTGCTCAGGAGCTCGATACCGAACGGGTCACAGCTCAAACAACTCCTGAAAGGCCACCGGGCTAATGCTCATGCAGGTCGCACTCGCGGCAACGTCGTTACCGCAGACGACGTGGCCCAAGTGTTCAAGGAGAGGCCGAACACCACTTTCGTCACCATATCCCGGCGCGGGACCGCCAAGGTGAACCAGCACGCAGTGCGCGCTCTCTTCTCCGATGCGGACGTCCTTGGACGCATACCTTGCGATCCACAGGAGAACTTCGACAACTTCCGCGGTACCGCGCAAATCGCTGCAGAACCATTCTGGATGCCCGTCTACGAAGGCATGCGAGTGACCATCACCAGAAACACGGACAAAGAGAACGGCTTCGTGAACGGCATGGGTGCGGTCGTACAGCGCATGAGACACACTGGCGTACAGGTCAAGACCGACGAAGGCAAGGTGCTCCTTATTCATCCCATCGCCCATGAGTGCGCCTTGTGGGATGGCAGCGTTCAGACCACCACCGCTTTTCCGCTGCGACTGGGCTACAGCACCACCTTGCACAAAATTCAAGGTGCCACCCTGTCCCACATCACCATTTGGATGGATGTTCCTTTCGTGAAGGCAGCACTGTATGTAGCACTCTCGCGGGTACAGTACGACCGCGATTGGAAGTTCGTAGGAAGCATCGACCGCCGACACTGCCTGCCAGCAGCCATGTGAGGCGAGCATGTGAAGCATGCAACAGAAAGCTCCAGGGGCTACAACAATTTCTAGTAAGACTGGAAGAATGCAGTTTCAAGTGGCTCTGGAATCATGGAGCCCCTCGAGCTTGACGCCCACGGAGCGGATACAATCCCCGTGGATGAACCAAACCAGCGTGTACTGCATCGAGCAAAAAAGGTCAATGCCACAGCTGACGCACTGCGAGGCGCTTAATCGAGTACGAAGTTGTGCATGCTGCATGTCGCCATTTGGCCGCAGAACCGCTGACCATAACAACATATGAAAGACAATCCCAACTAACATCTTTCACATGTGTAAACTCGGATGAGACAGTTACCAGTGACAATCACAATGGACCTGGCGCCGTGCTGCCACCAGGCATTGGCGGGACTGCTTCCAAGTTCTTGCTAAGTGCAGTCCAGCCAACGCCACGCGCCAGAATACAGTTCTTGCTCTGTCCGGTGCGCTTGAAACACGTGCTCACTGACAAAAGCCCAAATCCTAAAATGATCCTAAAGAATAACATTTAGGCCCGAATTCTTATTGCTAAATCTTATTGTTAAGATTCAGGTGTGGCTTTGTATTGTCGACTTTGAAACTAGTAACGACAATATAAATATGTAACGCCAACGTCCACCCTGAAATTGCCGTGGCTTTGTATCGCAGACTTTGTAAACAATAAAGCCAGTATAAGTATGTAATGCCAACGTCCACCCTGAGATTGCTGTATTGTCGACTTTGTAAACTGTAACGATCACAGCAACAGGCTTACGATGGTAACGTAATCGTGTCCCCAAACCTCGTCGCTGGAAAGTTGCTCACAGCCACAGGCTTGCGATGGTAACGTAATCGTGTCCCCAAACCTCGTCGCTGGGAAGTTGCTTACAGCCACGAATTGCGATGGTAACGTAATCGTGTCCCCAAACCTCGTCGCTGGAAAGTTGCTTACGGCCACGAATTGCGATGGTAACGTAATCGTGTCCCCAAACCTCGTCGCTGGAAAATGGCTCACAACCACAGGCTTGCGATGGTAGCGTAATCGCGTCCCCAAACCTCGTCGCTGGAAAGTTGCTCACAGCCACAGGCTTGCGATGGTAACGTAATCGTGTCCCCAAACCTCGTCGCTGGAAAGTTGCTCACAGCCACAGGCTTGCGATGGTAACGTAATCGTGTCCCCAAACCTCGTCGCTGGAAAGTTGCTCACAGCCACAGGCTTGCGATGGTAACGTAATCGTGTCCCCAAACCTCGTCGCTGGAAAGTTGCTCACAGCCACAGGCTTGCGATGGTAACGTAATCGTGTCCCCAAACCTCGTCGCTGGAAAGTGGCTCACAACCATAGGCTTGCGATTGTAGCGTAATCGCGTCCCCAAACCTCGTCGCTGGAAAGTTGCTCACAGCCACAGGCTTGCGACGGTAACGTAATCGTGTCCTCAAACCTCGTCGCTGGAAAGTTGCTCACAGCCACAGGCTTGCGATGGTAACGTAATCGTGTCCCCAAACCTCGTCGCTGGAAAGTAGCTCACAGCCACAGGCTTACGATGGTAACGTAATCGTGTCCCCAAACCTCGTCGCTGGGAAGTTGCACACAGCCACGGGCTTGCGATGCGCCCATGCCTGTTTAACCGAATCTTTCCTATTTCCAATTCTTATTCCCAATTCTTTTTCCCAATTCTTGTTCCTAATTGCCAATTCTTCTTCCCAATAAGAATTAGGCACTTGAATGAGGGTCCCCCCAGGATCGGCCACCAGCCTAATTTAAAACGCACTTTTCATGAACAGAATTTGACAACAAAAATACCTCCACCGATTCTCCAGAAAAGCCCGTCTAATTCTTATTCCCAATTCTTATTCCCAATTCTTATTCCCAATTCTTATTCCCAATTCTTATTCCTAATTGCCAATTCTTATTCCCAATAAGATTTAAGCACCTGTATGAGGGTCCCCCCAGGATCGGCCACCAGCCTAATCTAAAACGCACTTTTTATGAACAGAATTTGACAACAAAAATCCTTCCACCGATTCTCCAGAAAAGCCCGTCTAATTCTTATTCCCAATTCTTATTCCCAATTCTTATTCCTAATTCTTATTCCTAATTCCCAATTCTTTTTCCCAGTAAGAATTAGGCACCTGAATGAGGGTCCCCCCAGGATCAGCCACTGGCCTAATCTAAAACGCACTTTTTATGAACAGAATTTGACAACAAAATTCCCTCCACCGATTCTCCAGAAAAGCCCGTTTAATTCTTATTCCCAATTCTTATTCCCAATTCTTATTCCCAATTCTTATTCCTAATTCCCAATTCCTATGCCCAAGAAGAATTAGGCACCTGAATGAGGGTCCCCCCAGGATCGGCCACCAGCCAAATCTAAAACGCATTTTTTATGAACAGAATTTGACAACAAAAATCCCTCCACCGATTCTCCAGAAAAGCCCGTCCAATTCTTATTCCCAGTTCTTACTCCGAATTCTTATTCCCATGTCTTATTCCGAATTCTTATTCGCCAATTCATATTCCTAAATCCTAAAGCCCAAATCCTAAAGCGCAATCTCAAAAAAATAAGAATTAGGCACCGGAAAGAGGGTCCGCTCGAAATCCGCCACCAGCCTGTTTTAAAATGCACTTCTTATGAACAGAATTTGACAACAGAAAATCCGTCCACCGAACCTCCCAATTCTTATTCCCAATTCTTATTCCGAATTCTTATTCGCTAATTCTTATTCTCCAAATCCTAAAGCCCGAATCTTAAAGCGAAATCCTAAAAAATCAGAATTAGCCACCGGAAAGAGGGTCCCCTCGAGATCCGCCACCAGCTTACTTTAAAAGGCACTTTTTATGAGCAGAATTTGACAACAGAAAATCCGTTCACCACTCCTCCCAATTCTTACTCCCAATTCTTAATCCCAATTCTTATTCCGAATTCTTGTTCGCTAATTCTTATTCATACATCCTAAAGCCCAAATCCTAAAGCGAAATCCTAAAGAATAAGAATTGGCCCTAATTCTTATTCCCAAATCCTAAAGCGAAATCCTAAACCCTAAATCCTAAAACGAAATCCTAAAGCGAAACTCTAAAGAATAAGAATTGGCCCCAATTCATATTTCCAAATCCTAGAGCGAAATCCTAAAGCCTAAATCCTAAAGCGAAATCCTAAAGCGAAACTCTAAAGAATAAGAATTGGCCCCAATTCTTGTTCCCAAATCCTAAAGCCGAAATCCTAAAGCCTAAATCCTAAAGCCGAAATCCTAAAGCGAAACTCTAAAGAATAAGAATTGGGGCCCAATTCTTAAAGAAATCTTCAAACGGCAATGTAACGAGTAAGAATTAGAGGCCGATCCTAAATCCTAAAGCGAAATCCTAAAGCCGAAATCCTAAAGCGAAACTCTAAAGAATAAGAATTAGGGCCCAATTCTTATTCCGAATTCTTATTCCTCGCCCAATTCTTATTCCCAATTCTTATTCCTGCCCCAATTCTTATTCCGAAATCATAAAGCCCAATTCTTATAGCACCCTTTCGCACATGGTTTAGGGTATAACTATATATAGGACAGTACTGTCGTCGACCCACTGCTTAGCGGTGGCACGGCCTGTACCTTGGTGAGACAGTAGAAGCGCTGTGTAGGCACACTGCATGTGGCGATGCCCTCGAACGCCGAAAAGGCAGGGGAGGCCGCAGCGGTGGGCCGACAGGGCCCACCGGCCTGCGCCCCCTGAGTTTAGGGTTTAGGGTTTAGGGTTTAGGGTTTAGGGTTCGCCAGCGCAGTTTTTTGAGACTGCGCTAAAAGGCGCCCCAAGCATCTCACGCGAAGCCAGCAGCTGCATCCCTTTCTTTTAAGGGGGCTGGTCCTTAAGCCTCAATCCTCCTTGTCTGCACTGCGATTGCTCTCTGTTGGTTCGGGCTAGACTAAATTGAGTCTTTCTGATTGTTATGGGTTTGATGGGGTTTGGTAAAAAAGCCCGTTTCTGACAATCGTGTTTTTCGGCACTTTTTCCGGGTTGGGGATCGAAACCTTTGAACTTTTTCTGGCGCGGCCGGGTCCCCCCTCGCGAAGTTTCAGGGGTGCGAGGTGGGTTGGGGCTCGGAGGCGGAGGGTTCCGAGTGCGAGCATCTCACCCGAAGGCTTTCTCTGCCTTAAGGGGGTCCATGTTGACTGCGCTCACAGGCGCCCCGAGCATCTCCCACGAACGCTTGCTCTGCTTTAGGGGGGCTGGTCCTTAGGTCCTAAAGTTTTGCGTCTGCCTCTCGAATGTTTTCTGTTTGTTCGGGTTAAGTTAGGTTTAGAGCACTGTGAGTGTTAAGAGATTGCCGGGTCTTGGTGGTTCTTGTGGTTTCACTGCTTTGAGGGGGCCGTTGCTTAAGCCTTAAAAGTTGTCGTCTGCTCCGCGATTGCTCTCTGTTGGTTGGGGCTAGACTAAATTGAGGCTTTGTTAGTGTTGAGGGATTGCCGGGGTTTGGGGGTGCTTGTGGTTTCACTGCTTTTAGTGGGCCGTTGCATAAGCCTTCAAGCTCGTCGTCTGCCCCGTTGTCTGCTCCGCGATTGCTCTCTGTTGGTTCGGGCTAGACTAGATTGAGGCTTTCTTATTGTTGAGGGAGTGCTGGGGTTTGTTGCCCGGGGCCGGGGCACCTTCCCACAGCCAGTTCCCGGGGCCGGGAGCATCTCACGCGAAGCCAGCAGCTGCATCCCTTTCTTTTAAGGGGCTGCTTCTTAAGCCTTAAAACTCGTTGTCTGCACTGCGATTGTTCTTTGTTGGTGCGGGCTAGACTAAATTGAGTCTTTCTTATTGTTATGGGTTTGCTGGGGTTTGGTAAAAAAGGGAGTTTTTGACAATCATGTTTTCCGGCACTTTTTCCGGGTTGGGTCTCGAAACCTTTCAAACTTTTCTGGCGTGGCCGGGTCCCCCCTCGCGAAGTTTCAGGGGTGCGAGGTGGGTTGGGGCTCGGAGGCGGAGGGGTCCGAGTGCGAGCATCTCACCCGAAGGCTTTCTCTGCCTTAAGGG